GTGGGGGGTTGTTTTTTTTTTCTGGGGGGGGGCGAAAGCTCTGATTTCCGGCATTTCCCTCCCTCCCCCCACCCCCGCACATGGCTCTGGCCTGTCCCCGGGCGAGTTGCCCAGCTGTTTCTCCAAACCTGCGGGTGCTGGGGGCTTTTCCACGCCTTTCTCCAAGTTGCCCCTCTCTCCTGCTGCTGGGGGTGCTGTTAGTTTACAAACCCAAAGCCCCATGCAAAAAAATGATGATGATGATGTGACGTTTGTTTACAAGCCATTCCCTTAGTTTACAAGCCGTTCCCTTGGTTTACAAGCCCTCGCCTAAGTTTACGAGCCGGTTTGGGGAGCCTCCTGCTCTTAACCCAGGTTGACCTGTTGCCTCTCGCAGCCTGCCGGCGTCCTTTGCTTCATAAAGCTGTTAATTTTTGATGGCAGCCTTGGCCCTGCCGAGCTTTCCTGCTTTTACAAGGCCAAGGGGAACGGTTAATTATTAATTAGGGATGGAAACACGGGATGCTGCCCCACCTTTGCTGGTACATCCCCTCTCCCAGGAGCGAGCGGGTTCATCCAAGCCTTCGCCGGGCGATCTTGACCCCAAGGAGGAGGGAGCCACAACAGAGTATCTTGAGTCACAATTTGCGTCCTACATGTGATAACATCTTTTTTTTGGTGTTTTTTTTTGCAGCCTGCCAGCACCATGCACCCAGCAACCAGCAGCTTTCCCCCAGATGAGGAACCCCTGGTGGAGGAGCCCTCGGTGAACAGGTACGGCCGCCCGAAGCCGAGCGACCGCTTCCACGGTGCCTACATCATCTTTTTCCTCCTGGGCATCGGGTCCTTGCTGCCCTGGAATTTTTTCATCACGGCAAAGCACTACTGGATGTACAAGCTGCAGAACTGCTCGGATGGGGCAGGCCCGGTGGGAGAGGCGGCGGCGGATCTGCGGGTGAGTGTGGTGTTCTCAAGGCAGAAAAGAGAAGAAAAAAAAAAGCAAAAAAAAAAAGCTTCTTTCCTTCCTCACTTGCTCTTTTTCCACCCTCCACTTCCCCAGAAAGTGAGTGAACGTCCTCTGGGGTTTTGCCTGCTGCAAACCTGGGGTAGGGGTTTAGTTGGGGAGTGTGAATAGTTGCAAGAAAGATGCTTAAAAACTAAAGCATTGCACTTTGTGGTCCATCCTTTACTTCTATTTGAAACACTGAGGTGCAGTTAAAGAACTTGGCTTATCCTGTGCCATAAGCCCTTCACGGGCCAGTCTCCACAGTGCAAGGTAAAAATCTGTTTTGTGGTTTTGGGTTTGTTTTTTGTTTTGTTGGGGTGTTTTTTTTGTCCTTCATGCTTGGTGAGCCCCTGAGCCCTGCCAAGGTTCTGTGCTTTTTCCAGCCGGACTCAGCCACAACCTCCCCACCTCCTGAGATATAAATTGCCCTGAACTTCTGCCTCCTGGGTGAGGTGTTGAAGGCGTTTTGGGCACTTTCTCCCGGCGTGGCATGTGTTTTGGAGATGGCAGTGGCAGGGCTTGGCTGGAGCACGTGGCTCACCATCATCTCCAGCCCCTTCTGGCTGCTTTCCTGCTTTTCCTTCAAGATCTGCCAGGTGTGACCGGAGTATCTCCTCGCAGCCATGAACATCTGGCTTTTGGCACATGGGACGAGGAGCTTGTCACGGGGGGATTGATGAGCCAGCCTTGGGGTGACAGGCTCGATGGCCTTTTTCTCCCCCCAAAAAACCTCCTTCCTTTGCTCCTCCTGCCACGGCAGGATTATTTCCCTGCTCTCCCCCCACACACACCCCGACAAAGAGATGCCATTTCTTTGTGGGTGGAAAAAGCGTCGGCGGGATGAGGCTGCGTCCTCTCCCCCTCCCTGTTGCCTAAGCCACTTGCTCAAGTGGTTTGGGCACATTTTATTTTTATATAAACACAGAGCCAGGTGTGACGCCCACGTTTTCTCTATAACTTCTCACCCCACAGCACCCGTTGGCTGTTTTAATTTTAATAGCTGTTAAGCTGGCTGGCATTTTTGATGGGGAGGAAGCAGAGTGTCACTCACCGTGCTTGTACCAGGATGCTGAATTCCTGGTGTGCTGGTGTAAATGGAGATACTGGGTGGATTAAACTGATGGAGACCCCGTGGGTGCCCAAAGAATGCAAACAGGGTGTCCCTGTGCTCAGAGAGGGGATGAAGGGTGCTCCACCACCACGTGACACGATGTCCTCCCACATTCCCTGCCTCCCATCCCCTCCTCGTTTCTTCTACATCAGGTGTTATTCAAGGCAATTCTTGAAAAAACTGCCTTCACATAAAGTAAGTATCTCTTCCTCTGGTGAAAAGCAACCCAGCTTTTCCATGGTGGTTGAGTCTGATCAAAACCCAACCCGTTGGCCCCGTTTCTGCCCCTAGGATGGGGATCCACCATGCTGTGGTGAGGAGGGGTGACCTGCAGACTGAGTTCCACCACGGAAAGCTGTGCCTGTGACCGGCAGCCTCCTCTTGGCTCCAGCCTCCTCACTCCTAATTTCATCCCTCCTGCTCCACTGAACTCTCCCAAGCCTCTACAACCTCCACTGTGGGCCTGGGTTCATGGCATCATGGAAGCGTGTTTGAAGATGTTAATAATACGTAGGGTTAACGTAGGGTCAGACACCTCCATTATGCACGTGTTGGCTCCGTGGCTGAGGGATGACACCTTCATCACGGGAGGAAGGGTGTCAAGTTGGCTTTGTGGATTTTTCTTCTTTCTTATTAGCCAGGAAAGGAGTGGCAGCCTTTCAGTGCCTGCGTTTCTCCTCTAAAACCGTGTTGGTGATGGGGAGCTTGCAAGGGATGCCCGAAGGGAATGAGCCACCAGCCAGGAAGGGCTCAGCAGAGAGGGAGAAGAAGTAGGTAACGTCTTGCACAGCCAAAAATTAGCCCTGAAAGCATGTCTGTGGTGGGTGGGAATACCCAGGCAGGGAGAAGGGTTATCACCTGAGCTGCGTTACTGCCTAACGAGCAGGAGCAAAGAGGTGAGTTGAGTAGGGAGCCTGGTATTTTTTTTCCTTGATCCGGGCATGGATTATATTTGCCACTCACCACTTTGCTGCTGTGTTAAAAAAACGTGCTCTCCTTTTTCACAGAAATAACAGCAATCAAAACCCTTCTACTCGGTTTTATTTTTCCAGCAGGGTTTGGCCATGGGTAAGGCAGGGTAAAATCTCAGCTCCTCAGTTTCTTAAATATTTTCCCCCCCGTTTTCTTCCCACCACTGGTGTGAGCATGTTTATTGGGAATAATTAAGTGTTTCCCCGAGGTGCTTTTCCCCCCCCCAAAAAAAAAAAAAAAGATTAACTTGGAAGTACATTAAATATCCCAGGGTTGGTTTGGGGGTTTGTTTTAAGTAGGTTGATAAATAAGTCTTAGTTTTAGCAGCCAACTTTGCATTTGGCTTTGTCTCTTTCTCCTATAATTCATCATGTGGCTGTGGAGCTTTGAGCCCCCTGCTTCGCCGAGCCGATGCCCTAAGTGCAGGCATTTTTGTCTCTGACTATATGGCCCCTCTAGGAGGGATTATTAGATTTCCCATGGCTTGCAGTAAATCTCCTGATAGGGGAGACTAAATGAACATGCTTGTAAACTGATTAAAAGGCTATGATGCAAAGCTGCAAAAAGAAATAAAAAAAAAAAAAAAGAAGGTAACGTGCAGAGAAAACACACCAAATGCCTTCTCGTGCTCGGCCACGACGTGGCCCCGTCTCTGTAGCTAGGTAACTGGAGAAAATCAAAGCCCATCGCCACGGGGGTGGATATGTAGGTCATCCTCTTTGCGAGCATCTTCCTACCTGCTGGCTGAGATTCCTGCAGAAAAAAAAACAACAAAAAAACAAACCAAAAAACCAGAGGATTAAGCGCCTGGAGGGGAGGAGATGGAGCAGACACTCTTTAACAGCGTAACACAGAAAATGGATTGAGAATGTGAGCGTCTTGGCTGCAATCTTGGCAGAGAAATCTCTCTCTCTGGGCTGGTGGTTATTGGTTTCTGCGTGCCCAGCCTGACCTCTGCATGGGGTGGGCTGGTGGATGTTGGCTGGTGGATGCCCCAGCTTGTTGGGGTGACACACGCATCCATCCCCGGAGTCAATGTGTGTTGAGTCTCCATGTAGTTTCCTGAGGAGATTCCTGCCAGGGAAGAAGGAGAGGGAGAGCAGGAGGGAAAAATAATGTCCCTGTGGCTCCACTCGGGCTGCCATGGCTCATGCACCTTCTCAGGCGTGGTGTCCCCTGGTCGCGGATGCTCAGATTGGGCTTTCGAGGCAGTTAGGTAATAATATTAATGCTTTCATAAAAAGCAGCCCTCTTGGAGCTCATGGAGGGTAAAATGTTCAGGGGGGGTTATCCAGGATGCTGGAGCCAGCAGGAGAAATTCAGACCTCCTTATCTCGGTCGCTGCCCCGTGGGGCTAACGCAGCAGCAAGGCAGGTATTTCCTTCACCATTTTTTGTTCTGAATTTGTAATGTCTCGTAATTTCTTGAACTGTCCTGGGGCTGTTACTGGACATTGTCTATTCCCTTTGCCTGCTGTCCTGAGCAGCTTTGCAACATGTGCTACCGTGCAAAGAGGTGGACTCAAAAGAAGTGTGGCCAGCAGGTCATGGGAGGTGATTCTGCCCCTCTGCTCTGGTGAGACCCCACCTGGAGCTCTGTGTCCAGCTTTGGAGTCCTCAGCACAGGAAGGACATGGAGCTGTTGGAATGGGTCCAGCAGAGGGCCACGAAGATGGTCAGAGGGCTGGAGCACCTCTGCTGTGAGGACAGGCTGAGAGAGCTGGGGTTGTTCAACCTGGAGAAGAGAAGGCTCTGGGGAGACCTTAGAGCCCCTTCCAATATCTGAAGGGGCCACAGGAGAGATGGAGAGGGACTCTTTATCAGGGAGTGGAGTGATAGGACAAGCTGTAATCGTTTTAAATTGAAAGAGGGGAGATTTAGATGAGATCTCAGGAAGAAATTCTTTTCTGTGAGGGTGGTGAGAGCCTGGCCCAGGTTGCCCAGAGAAGCTGTGGCTGCCCCATCCCTGGAGGGGTTCAAGGCCAGGCTGGATGGGGCTTGGAGCAACCTGGTCTGGTGGGAGGTGTCCCTGCCCAGGGCAGGGGGGTTGGAACAGGATGATCTTGAAGGTCCCTTCCAACTCTGACCATTCTATGATCGTAACTCCTCACGCATGCTGTATCGTGCTGTATTTAGGACCTGAAATTCATTTGTTGTTCTCCTCTACCTTTTTTAATTCAGTGGGGCTTTTTGTTTTGTTTTGTTTTTCTTTTTTTTTTGTGTGTGGCAGGACTATTTTGAGAGTTACATCTCCATTGCTTCGACCGTGCCCTCGGTGCTGTGCCTGATTGGAAACTTCTTGATCATCAATAAGTAAGTGCTGCTCCTCTTTCCCCGGGTCGATTAGCTACGTCTCTCCACGGCTTTGCCTTTCTCCAGCTTCAGCTGAGGCTCCCAGTTCCCTCCAGTGGGAAGCCATGGGGCATCATGAGAGGAGCCCCCCAGTGCAGCCAAAATCCCCTCGCCTGTCCCTGCCTGAATCACAAGCGGCTGAGATCACAGAGATGAAGCACCGTGTCCCTGGGGGTTGGCTTGAGTTGCACCACCGTAAATAAATTCCTACTAAATTCCTTGGTTAATTGCTCAGCAAACAGTGTTTCCTATTAAAAATGCCATTGTTGTCACCAGGGGACCAACTGACCAGAGCTGGGCTCATCCAGCCTTGGCTCTAGACCTACCAGCCGATGAACTGGGTTAGGACATGGAGCATCCATGCCTTGGTGTGAGCTGGGCTTAAATCTAAAATAGCCACCTCCCTTCCTTTGTGCTGTTTCTTAACCCCGGATTAAACTCCTGGGGTGTGTTTGCAGGCGGAGAGGAATGTGGTTTTGTGCTTAATCTCTCCATCTCGGCCGCTGGTCTGGCTCCCTCTGGCCTCTCTTCCCTCACCCCTCTGTCCTGCCAGTCTCCCAACTGGGTAATAATCAACCTCTGTGCTCAGAGAACTAATTATCTCGTAGCGACGTGCCTGGGATTGATTTTACCAAACCTCCTCTGGTCCCCCAGAGAGGCTGTCTCACTGCTCCAGCTCCTAATTTCTGGAAGAAAACGGTTATTTATGGCTTGGTTGGGTTTATAGGCTTCATGAGTCCTACTGATGGCAAAATGGAAGTGGCAGAGTTGACATCTAAAGGCTTCTGAGAAGAATCCTTACTTTGTATTCCTCGTCTCCCTCCACCTTTATTTTCTTGGAGAGGAGTCGGTGTCTCCTGCATCTCAGCTTCACCTTAGAATTTTAAATGCTGGTGTCTCCCCTTGTCCCCAGGGTGGCTGCCAGCGTCCGGATCCTGTCCTCCCTCTTCGTCATGCTGGCCGTCTTCCTGGTGATCACAGTGCTGGTGAAGGTGGACACCTCCGCCTGGACCACCCGCTTCTTTGCCCTCACCATCGGCTGCGTGGTCGTCGTCAGCGGCGCCTCGACCATCTTCACCAGCAGCATCTTCGGTCTGAGCAGCTGCTTCCCCATGAAGGATTTGCAGGCGCTGATCTCGGGTTGGTGTCCCTCAGCCCCACCATCCTGGTGGGATCGTGCTCTTGGGTTTTGCTGTGGTTGGGCGGTCGGTTTTCTTTCCCTCCCTCATCAGGCGTTTTGTCACGTGGGATTTATTTTAGAAACTTGGCTTGGCCTTCAAGATAAAGGGAAGTTGCTGAAGGAGAAACATGCTCGGTCACATGGGCCGGTGCTCTCATTTCTGTAAATACCCATAAACTGAAGTGCTGAGGGCTCAGCAGAGACGAGGAGAGTGGAGTCCTTAGCTGTCCCTGCCCGGGGGGTGAACACCTTGTAGCGCAGCTCCAACCAGCACGACGGCTTGACCTGGCTATTTGTTCTTGTGCAGGGAGAAAGGGGGAAAGACATAGGTCCCTGAGCTCCTCTATTTGCAGCTGGTTGAACCTTCAGCCTCTCATTGTCTCCTCCTTTCTGTTCTGCATTTCCATGCATTGCCATGAGTGATGAGGGACCCGTTGGGAGCCGTGAGTGATGAGCTCCCTGGAGGTTTAATAACATTATAAATGTGCTGTGCAGGTTGCCCAGAGAAGCTGTGGCTGCCCCATCCCTGGAGGGGTTCAAGGCCAGGCTGGATGGGGCTTGGAGCAACCTGGTCTGGTGGGAGGTGTCCCTGCCCAGGGCAGGGGGGTTGGAACAGGATGATCTTGAAGGTCCCTTCCAACTCTGACCATTCTATGATCGTAACTCCTCACGCATGCTGTATCGTGCTGTATTTAGGACCTGAAATTCATTTGTTGTTCTCCTCTACCTTTTTTAATTCAGTGGGGCTTTTTGTTTTGTTTTGTTTTTCTTTTTTTTTTGTGTGTGGCAGGACTATTTTGAGAGTTACATCTCCATTGCTTCGACCGTGCCCTCGGTGCTGTGCCTGATTGGAAACTTCTTGATCATCAATAAGTAAGTGCTGCTCCTCTTTCCCCGGGTCGATTAGCTACGTCTCTCCACGGCTTTGCCTTTCTCCAGCTTCAGCTGAGGCTCCCAGTTCCCTCCAGTGGGAAGCCATGGGGCATCATGAGAGGAGCCCCCCAGTGCAGCCAAAATCCCCTCGTCTGTCCCTGCCTGAATCACAAGCGGCCAAGATCACAGAGATGAAGCCTCCTGTGCCTGGGGGTTGGCTTGAGTTGCACCACCGTAAATAAATTCCTACTAAATTCCTTGGTTAATTGCTCAGCAAACAGTGTTTCCTATTAAAAATGCCATTGTTGTCACCAGGGGACCAACTGACCAGAGCTGGGCTCATCCAGCCTTGGCTCTAGACCTACCAGCCGATGAACTGGGTTAGGACATGGAGCATCCATGCCTTGGTGTGAGCTGGGCTTAAATCTGAAATAGCCACCTCCCTTCCTTTGTGCTGTTTCTTAACCCCAGATTAAACTCCCGGGGTGTGTTTGCAGGCGGAGAGGAATGTGGTTTTGTGCTTAATCTCTCCATCTCGGCCGCTGGTCTGGCTCCCTCTGGCCTCTCTTCCCTCACCCCTCTGTCCTGCCAGTCTCCCAACTGGGTAATAATCAACCTCTGTGCTCAGAGAACTAATTATCTCGTAGCGACGTGCCTGGGATTGATTTTACCAAACCTCCTCTGGTCCCCCAGAGAGGCTGTCTCACTGCTCCAGCTCCTAATTTCTGGAAGAAAACGGTTATTTATGGCTTGGTTGGGTTTATAGGCTTCATGAGTCCTACTGATGGCAAAATGGAAGTGGCAGAGTTGACATCTAAAGGCTTCTGAGAAGAATCCTTACTTTGTATTCCTCGTCTCCCTCCACCTTTATTTTCTTGGAGAGGAGTCGGTGTCTCCTGCATCTCAGCTTCACCTTAGAATTTTAAATGCTGGTGTCTCCCCTTGTCCCCAGGGTGGCTGCCAGCGTCCGGATCCTGTCCTCCCTCTTCGTCATGCTGGCCGTCTTCCTGGTGATCACAGTGCTGGTGAAGGTGGACACCTCCGCCTGGACCACCCGCTTCTTTGCCCTCACCATCGGCTGCGTGGTCGTCGTCAGCGGCGCCTCGACCATCTTCACCAGCAGCATCTTCGGTCTGAGCAGCTGCTTCCCCATGAAGGATTTGCAGGCGCTGATCTCGGGTTGGTGTCCCTCAGCCCCACCATCCTGGTGGGATCGTGCTCTTGGGTTTTGCTGTGGTTGGGCGGTCGGTTTTCTTTCCCTCCCTCATCAGGCGTTTTGTCACGTGGGATTTATTTTAGAAACTTGGCTTGGCCTTCAAGATAAAGGGAAGTTGCTGAAGGAGAAACATGCTCGGTCACATGGGCCGGTGCTCTCATTTCTGTAAATACCCATAAACTGAAGTGCTGAGGGCTCAGCAGAGACGAGGAGAGTGGAGTCCTTAGCTGTCCCTGCCCGGGGGGTGAACACCTTGTAGCGCAGCTCCAACCAGCACGACGGCTTGACCTGGCTATTTGTTCTTGTGCAGGGAGAAAGGGGGAAAGACATAGGTCCCTGAGCTCCTCTATTTGCAGCTGGTTGAACCTTCAGCCTCTCATTGTCTCCTCCTTTCTGTTCTGCATTTCCATGCATTGCCATGAGTGATGAGGGACCCGTTGGGAGCCGTGAGTGATGAGCTCCCTGGAGGTTTAATAACATTATAAATGTGCTGTGGAACGGCTGACAAATCAAGAGGGGAAGGGGGAAAAAAAAAAATCAAGAAGGAGAAATTTTTCCTGGGGCCGAGACAAGAATGTTTTAATGAGTTTAGCCCGGTGGGGGAAATCACTGCATCCCCAAGGTGACATACCTGTTGCTGGTCACTTGGGTTCCTGGCAGAGTGCAGAAGAGAGGTGGTTAGGTGTCTGCTGGTGGCAGGCTGGGTTTAGGCTTTGGGGAGGGTTTGGACCTTCTCTGTAGGACTCTGCACGTGGAAACCCAAGGGGTCTCATCCTGACCCTTGTGCAACGCCGTGGCTGTGTTGGAAGGGGGTGCAGGATGGGAACTGGGCTGTGATGCAGTCCCACAAATAGGGACCTGCACCCTGAGCCAGGTTTGGGGACCAGCATGTGGGGTGGGGGGGGATGAGCTCCTTCCTCTGGGGCCTTTGTGCATGCCAGGAGGTCTTAATAAGAGGATGCTGTTGTTTCTGGGTTCCTCCTCTGCATCAAATTCCTCCTTGGTGGAGGTGCTGTGGGTTGATCTCTGCCACCTCGATGTCCTGGGGGCTGAGCTCCAGCTCTCTGGTCCCTCACGCAGGTCAGGCCATGGGTGGCACCATCAGTGCTGTTGCCTCCGTGGTGGACCTGGCAGCAGCTGCTGACGTTACGGACAGCGCCCTGGCCTACTTCCTCACCGCCGACATCTTCATCGTTGTCTGCATCATGGTCTACCTCCTCCTCCCCAGGCTGGAGTACTCCAGGTGCGTGCACCAGCCGGCCATGGGCATCCCACAAGGGTGGATCGGGAGGGTTTGCTGCTCCCCACGCTGGGTGGGCTTGCTGGGGCTGGGGGGGACACACACGTGAGATGTTTGCTGTGCTGGTCCCTGCCCTGCCACCCCTGCCCCAACATCCCTCCATGAACTCTGGCATGGTGCTGCCACCAGCCATGCTTCTTCCCCATTTGACCGAAACCACAGACCAAAACTGAGTTTCTAGCAAGCTTCCTGGGGAGGAAAGAGCATTGCTGACACTGGGGGCTTCCCAAATGCATGAAGTCAGCAGAGAGCCATCGTCTGGAAGCAGCCAGACAGCTGGGTCCCTGTAGATGTGTCTATCTGCAGTCTCTATCTGCAAGTCATCCACTGATATGCATGACCCATTGGTCTTGTCAGTGCTTGCAACCCAAGAAACCACGTGGCCTCTCAAGTGATAGGTCCCTGAGGGTCACCTCTCCGTACGAGTTGGGAGCTGGAGGTGCGATGGGGCCGCTGGGTCCAGCAGACACTCCTGTGTAACCAACTCTCCTGTTCTCTCTCCACATCTTTTTTTGGGTTCCCCCCACACACACACATTTGTCTGATAATCTCCCTCCTTCTCTTTTTCCAGGTATTACATGAGCAGCCAGGTGGAGACCCCGTCTCTGGTGACTGTGCCGCCTGACAGCTCCGTGGAGGACGAGCTAGAGCCAGGAGGCACCACGAATATCTCCTTCCTCACAAAAAGCACCAGTATCCCCCCACTCCGCCCCATCCTGCAGAAGACCGCCCTCCTTGGCTTCTGCCTCTTCTACGTCTTCTTCATCTCCATCATCATCTTCCCTTCTCTCTCCTCCAACATCGAGTCGGTCAGCAAGTCCTCGGGAAGCCCGTGGAGCACCAAGTACTTTGCACCGCTCACCAGTTTCCTCCTGTACAACTTTTCTGACTGGTGCGGGAGGCAGATCACCATGTGGATCCAGGCACCCGGCCCCAAGAGCAAACTGCTGCCCACCCTTGTCCTCCTCAGGACCATCTTCCTCCCTCTCTTCATCCTCAGCAACTACCAGCCCCGGGCTCACATCCGGACGGTGGTCTTTGACCAAGACATCTACCCGGTGGTCTTCACAGCACTGCTGGGGCTGAGCAATGGCTACTTGGGGACACTGGTCAGTGTCTACGGCCCCAAGATAGTGCCAAAAGAGCTGGCTGAGGCAGCAGGGGTGGTGATGACCTTCTACCTCATGCTGGGGCTGGCTGTGGGGTCTGGCTGCTCCGTTCTCATTGTCCACCTCGTGTAGAGGAACAGCCAGAGGATGACACCCTCGTTTTGCAGTGCTGCTGTTGGGTATTTAGGTTTTCTTCCCCCCAAAAGGCAGGCACACCATGGTTCTGGGACAGGCTGCCTGTCCTGGGATGGGTGGCTGCATCCAGGGGGAAAAGTCTTCCTTCTGGGAAGGGGTCCCTTCTGTGTTTGGAAGGTCCCGTCAGGCCTTTGTCACTCCCCAGCTCGACTGGAGCAAATGGACCAAAAAAGCCCCATCCTACTCAGGGAAGCACCAGGGGCACAGGGAAACCTGTCACTCTCCCCAGTGCCAGTGGGCAAGGGTGGCTTGCTGGTGCCACCACACGGGTTTTAAACTGAAAGTAGGGCATTTGAAGGCACCTTGGGTTTTGCTGCCTCTTTCTTCAGCCCCCTGGTGTTTCCGTGGTCTCTGGGGCTCCCCCTTTGTCAAGCTGTGACAATGACCTTGAGCTAAAGGGAATGTCAGCCCTGGAGTAGCTTTCAAGGAGGCTTTGGAGGCAGAGAGCAGCCATGCCAGGGAGCAGGGCACTGTTTCATCCCATGAAAAAGCATATATAAGGGAAACATCTCCACTTGGACTTCTTTTTTCCTTTATTTTTACCATGGAAGATCAAATGAGGGTGCTGCTACTGCTGGGGCTGTGTGTTGGGGCCAACCTGAGACTGTTTCTGCTGCTGTGACTGCCGTGTGATGGTTGTGGACGTGTTGGGGCCAACCTGAGACTGTTTCTGCTTCTGTGACCACTGTGTGATGGTTGTGGATACCAACTAACCTATCTGCAGGTGAACTCCGAGGAAAAGCTGAATGCTAAGTGGTCTTAATCTCGGGGTTTTAAGGTGCCTTTAGTCTGCGTTGGAGAAAGGTCTATAAAAGCCAGGGAGAGCTATTGGGGAGGCTCTGATTGATATTCCCAGCAGAAAGCTGATTAATTTAGGTAGACAGGCAGCATATGGTCTCCAGATGCTTTCAGAGGGGTGAGCTACTGGCACGCTCAAAAAGATGGCCCACCCGAATGGGACCAGCTTTTAAAGTCACTTAAATGTCCATCTGCAAATGCAGCCTGGACTAAATACACTTATTGTATTTATTTACTCCAATTGGGCGGATTTATGGTCTAAGGAAGGTGAGCTGGTGAGGACGTAATGGCAGAACCTGGCATTGCAGCTGATGCCTCGGGGAAGCTATCGGTGGAAAATACCTCCTTGAAGACTTGGTTGGTAGCAGATGCTCTCTCAGCATCTCCTGCTTGACCAAGAAGCTGCTGGCCTGGGTTGCCAGGCCATCTCCTTGATGTGGAGGGTAGCAGAGAGGGTGGGATGTGGAAGGTGGCGAAGAGGGAGGATGTGGGGCTGGTGCCTTGCCCCCTGTGGCCACCCTGGCTTTGCTGGGAGGACAGCAGTTGTTGCCACGGGGTGACATCTAGGCTTGCTGGATGGGTTGTTTGGTTTTTTTTTTTTTATATAAATCCTTTCCTAGTGGTTAGTTTGGGCTCATTGGCAATACACACACAGTTTTGCTTTACGGCTGATTTTTATTTAAACATAAAATCCAGGCAGGAGTGGAAAATTTACAGGGCGTGCAGCCCCGAGGAGCAGCTTTATGGCACGCGGCTTTGCACGTGTGGGCTCTTAATCCCGTCGCTTGGGTGGGTTTGCAACCCACCCCTCAGCCCCCAATGCTTGGCTAGGGGCTGCTTTGGCCAGCGTTGACCCAGGTTCCCCTCAGCTTGAAGGACAGCCCAAGGGTTGAGGGTCGCGATGCCTCCCAGCCATCTGCGTGCTGCTCATGAGGGTGAGCTCTTCCATCGCCTCCAACAGCAATAGAGTTGCTCATGGCTGGAAAACCAAAGCCAATGTCATGTTGGCAACCAAAACATCCCTTTGTGGCCTTCAGTGCTTCCCATTGGAGAGCCTGCCCACGTGGTCTGCTCTCCTCAACTCATACTCTTCCCCCAGGATGGTGAGATTCTGCTCGTTTGCTGACTGCTCCGTCACGTTACAGACCAAATACCTCTCGAGACAGAACTTAATCAATGTGGTACCATTGCTAATAAAGTAAATTCTTGATACTGTGCAACTGCTGGTGTCTGGAGTGCTTTCTCTTGGAGACGCACAGATGTGTGCAGTTTTAGTTTGCATCTTTCCTTCTGGCCCAGCTTGGATTGGAAACTTGGAGAAGTCACTGACATGCTGGTGTCTGGAGTGCTTTCTCTTGGAGATGCAAAGATGCATGCAGTTTTAGTTTGCGTCTTTCCTTCTGGTCATCCTTCTCGCCCAGCTTGGATTGGAAACTTGGAGAAATCACTGACAAGAGGGAGATTGTGGAGTCCCCTTCTCCGGAGATTTTCAAGACCCACCTGGATGCTCCTGAGTGATGTGCTCTGGGCAGCCCTGCTTTGGCCGGGGAGTTGGACTGGAGGATCTCTAGGAGGTCCCTTCCAACTCTGACAATTCCGTGAAGAGCCAGGAGAAGGACCCCCCAAGAGAATTGCGTTGTGAAGGTCCCTTCCAACTCCAACGATTCCGTGAAGAGCCAAGGGAAGGACCCTCAAGAGAATTGCGTTGCAATCCTGATTATTCTAACATAACATCTCCAAACAACCTACAGGTAGGTGTGGAGGGTGTACTTAATGCATCTGCAGGGGAAGCAGGCAAAAAGGGAATTTATCCTTTGTTTTCCGTGGTAGTCAGCTAAAGAAAGTTGGAGAAATGAGGGGGAAAATCGATACAGGTTCAACCTGGGCAAGAATTGTGTCTGAGTATGAAGCGGTGGACTGCTGGGTGGGAGCATCATGGTATGGGGCTGGATGCTGATGGGCAGACTGAGCCACGAGCGTGGGGGTGATCCCCCCTGCAAAAGGGGATGAGTAATTTATAGGGTGTTGGGTATAACAGCGGGGAAGTAATTGCTGCCATATACTGCCTGGGCGAAGTCACATCTGATGCTCTGCCTGGGCCATGTCGAAGAGCTCAAGCTAGGAAAATGTAGAATGATGAGGGGAAATGGTGGTTTCAAGGCAGAATGAAGGATGCCTTGTCTCGGATGCGTTAGTTGAAATGCAAACCGTTGTTTATTTCTTGATGGATTTCTGGAGGGGTTCAAGGTCAGGCTGGATGGGACTTTGAGCAACCTGGTCTAATGGGAAATGTCCCTGCCCAGGGCAGGGGGTTGAAACTTGAGGTCTTTAAGGTCCCTTCCAACTCTAACCATTCTGTGATTCTGTGAGTGTGTCTTTGCTAAGCCATTGACCCCAGTTTCCAGTTCAGGAACGATGTGTGCTCCCTGGTCTCCACCAACATCGAGGTGGGACAGCCAACAGAAATGCTGCTGGGGTCAAAACCCTGCCTCATGCTACTTAGCCAGGAGATTACACAATTTTCTTCTAGATCTCAAAGAGCTTCACAAGAGGGAGTTGCTCTCCTCATCTTTGTTTGGACCTGGGCCACCTGAGGTCCAGAGGAAGACCCACAGGGCTGGGAGCTGAGCTGGGTCCATGGGTCTTCCACACGTGTCCAAATCAAGTGTTGCCAGATTCCATGATCTTTAATTAACACCATCTTCCAGCCAAGGAGAGTGGGCTGTGGGCTGGCTGGCAGGGGAAGGACCACGTGCTCTCTCTGCAGGGCTTGGCCTCAGCCTCACCAGTGGGTGTAAAATGAGGGTTGCAGGCGCTTGCAACATTCATGAGGTGAGGCCCACGAGGTGAGACCATCTCGACACGCATCCCTGCGTGGTGCCAAGTGGCAGAGCCACCGTTTGCCCAGCGCTTGGGGCGAGCCATCGCTGGCAAAAACCACCCGGAGGATGGGGAGCCAACCCCAGCTCCGCGGAGGGCTGGCAGCCTGGGGTGGTCGGGATGCTCTGCCTGCCCCAAGCTGGCTTCTCCAGCAGCCTTTGGTCTTAAATCCAACTGGCCGAGGGGAGACTGGAAAGCTGGGAACTGGCAAAGCCATGCGAGCAAGACGGGAGGGCGCAGGGAGCAGCAAGGGGTTGGATGAAAGGGTGGAAAGTGGAGGAGGCGCATCTGCTGCAGCTTCTGCTTAAAGGACAGCAACTGAGCCTATGCCCAACCTTTTTTTATTTTATTTTTTTTGCAGCAAGGGGTTGGATGAAAGGGTGGAAAGTGGAGGAGGCGCATCTGCTGCAGCTTCTGCTTAAAGGACAGCAACTGAGCCTATGCCCAATCTTTTTTCTTTTTTTTTCCCCCCTCTCTCCTGCCAGCTCCCCCTCCCTGCTTCAGAGCTGGAGTATTTAAATACAAGTATTCAGGGTGTTAAAGCAAAAAAAAATAATAAATCACTCTCTAGGAGGAAAGGAAACTTTTGTTATAGAGCGATGCTCACGTGCCGTCAGTTCCAAGTGACTTTCCCTCTTCCTCTCTGATCTCCAAAGCTTTGTGTAGCCTCTCCCCGGGTTGGAAATGCCCCACAGGGTGGAAATGCTGCCACCTCTCCATCTGTGATACCAGCCTGTGCGTTATCAGAGGCTTTGGCACAGCGCTATTACCCTTTGGGAGGAGCAAGCACCTTTGAAACAACCTCGTTATCCTTCAGGGTTGCCTTGGTGGTCACCAAAGGAAAGCTCTGCTGCCTCTCGGCTACTCCTTTGTACGTGTTTTGGGGCAGGACTCATCTTTTCAGTGTTTTGCCAGGGTGCACCGTGCTTCAAAAGCTGGGAAATGCCCCACAGGGTGGAAATGCTGCCACCTCTCCATCTGTGATACCAGCCTGTGCGTTATCAGAGGCTTTGGCACAGCGCTATTACCCTTTGGGAGGAGCAAGCACCTTTGAAACAACCTCGTTATCCTTCAGGGTTGCCTTGGTGGTCACCAAAGGAAAGCTCTGCTGCCTCTTGGCTACTCCTTTTGGGGTAGGAGTCATCTTTTCAGTGTTTTGCCAGGGTGCACTGTGCTTCAAAAGCTGAAGTGGGACCCAGCAGCACAGAGCATCCCCCAGCAGCACAGAGCATCCCTGTGGGTCTCCATCTGTGCCTGTCCCCAGCATCCTGACGAAGCTCCTAATGAGCTCTGGCAGTCCCGGTGGGCAGCCAGGGGCCAGGCTGAGTGACCTCGCTCTTAATTACCACCCTACAGCAGCTTCATTTGTATGGGCAGTGCCCTCTTCTGCGCAGCTGCTTGGGCAGCACGAGGAGACCCCTAACACCCCACGGATGGGGTTGATGTTCTCCATCCCCTGCCCCTCCAAAATGCTGCCACCTCGCCCTCCACAGCAAAGGGAAAGACCAGTTTTAAGGTATTTTGGCTCTTGGTGAGCTTTGAAGCTTGCCAACCCCTGCAGCTTTGAGTCATGCCCCTGGTGAGCATCCTCCTGAAAAGGACCACGCAAGCCGAGGGCTCCAAATGCCAGAGGTCCTCGGCTTTGGCAGGGACACAGCAGGGGCCACAGTCCTTGACAGATGAACCAAGCCCATCCTGCCCCTCCGTGGGTGCTCCAGAGGAAAAAAAAAAACCAAAAACCTCAGCTTTGAAACCCCGCCAGCCAGCTGCAGGCTTGCCCGGCTGCTGTTCTGCTTTTTGCATGTTTTATGGAGTAATTTGTACTATATTTACAGGACGATGACAAACAGTTTTTAAAATGGAAGCGAAGCAAACGCCGTTGAATGAATTGTTACAAAAAGCCCTGTTTTGCCGTTCCAGCAGGGGGGAAGAAAAAAAAAGGGATAAAAATC